TGCTTTGTTGTTGTGCTGCTTCAAGTTGGTGTTGCACCGTCTGTTGCAGGAGTTCAAAGGTGCGGTCGTCCCGAAACTGTACCCAATGGTGATGGGTGTCGAGAAACTGGCCCCAGGTCTGATCTCCTAACCAGTGGTGCTGGACTCGCTGGAGAGCTTTGTTGAGCCCGTGGATGGCGCCTGAGGCTTTGGCGGGCTGGTTTTGGATCAAATTAAGTCTGGCCTGGATCTGCTCCCAGAAGGCTGCCTTGCCTTTTTTTTCCATAGGCCGCCGGCTTTGGCCGGTACCAGGGGTAGGTGCTGAGTGGTCAGGTTAGAACCACGTCCCTGTGGAGCCCAGGGGTGCTGTTGCAGTAGGTATTGTTCGGTGATGGATGTCCAATCTGCAAGAGTTTGGGCTCCTGAGTTTGGGCTGCTTTCGTACAACTGAAGCTGTTCGACCTGAGACACATAGGTGCTCCAGGCGCGGAAGCCGATGTCGGGCACATTGGGTAGTGGAGGGAAACTCCGGATTTGGTTGTAAAGCCGGAAATCATCTCCCAGTTCAAGGGCGTAGGTGAGGAGGCAGTGTGGTCGCCAAGGGACAGCCCATTCTGTGGTCATGGAGGTGCAAGCTGCCAAGGTTTGTTGAACAATGGCATAGTCAACTGTATTGCCATTGAGCAGGGTGGCATCTGGGGCGAGGATTTGCCAGTGGAATTTGGAATCAAGGACTGTTCCTTGGAATTGTTCCGGGTGGTTGTTCCAGTCGCCAACCAAGATGAACTGCCGGGTGGAGGCATCCAGGAGCGCCAGGATGCGGGCCAGGATTTGGGCATTCGTCGTGCCTTGAATCGACTCATTGGTTTTGAGGTAGACGGCAACGACCAGGATGGATCTGGCTTTGGCTTCCCAAAGGAAGGCTTGGTATCCGCATCCTTCAACCTCAAAGGCTTCAAGTTGGGTTAGTCCATGGGCCGTGTCGTGGATGACCATGATGCCCCCATGTGTGCCTTCATTGGTGGTGTTGCTGTGTGCTGGATACCCGAAAGCATGTCTGCCTCTGACCTCGAAGTACTGGCACATCGATTGATGTTTCTGCCGATCAAGATGGGTCTCCACCATGATATAAATTTCATTGTCTCGGGACTAGTACCAGTCGAGAGTGCTTTTCCCAAAGGCAGTGATGTTGGCTACATGGAGGCGCATGTGCTCTTGTGTGTGCCGTGCCTTCTTGGGTGGTGTGCCGTGAAGTGGTGGATCGTAGTCTGGGGTTTCGGGCGGTGGCAATGCCCGGGCGATCTGTCTTGGTTGAACCAGTGCTGTGGTCTGGATGCCCCAAACTTGCACGATCTGGCCGGCAATTTGTGGTGTCAAAAAGGGAAGCACCTTTGGATTGGCTTTATCATCTGCAATCCACATGAGGTCCTTGTACACGAGGATGGCGTAGTAGTGCCCTGTCTCATGGGTGGGTCCTCTGTGGCAGATGTACGCCATTGGAATGTACTCTGCACTGGCTCTGGAGAAACCGTCAAGGGAGCGGGGGACGGTGTATGGTCCATGGGGGTTGAGGGCTCGTTTGTGTTTTGTCACCGTGCCGTCGATGGTGACAGCGCGGTTGATGTGACTGATGTGGACCATTTTGTCGTCCCCGAGGTACTGGCCATAACCTTGGTTGGCCCAGCAGTTCACGAGTTCTTGCCAGGTGATTTCATCGAGAAATTCATCAGGGTAGTCCACAATTAACGGGACTTGGATGTGCTCTGTGATGTAGCCACCCTCTTTGATCTCAGTGTGGCGGTATTGGAGAACGCGGGTTTGGGAGTGGACCCACAAGGAATGCGCAAAATGGGCTGCGTCTCCTTCGATGTTCAGGTTGTGCTTCTCCCACAGCTGGTGTAGGCCTGGCAGTTGCTGGATGTCAACTGGTTCGGTGAGCTCCAAGGAGGTTTGGACTGCATCCTTGATCACTCCCCATGGGTCGCGGTTGAATTCCGCCAGATAGGCACACACCCAGCAGAAGGCACGCCAGGGTGCATTAGCGTAGCACCTGGCACTGGGATTTCCGACCACCATGCTCAAATTCTGGAGGAGGAGGTCCGTGGTCGAGGCATAGTAATGACCGCTCATCAAGGATGCCCTTGCTCCTGTGTCAGCGGAGGTGGCCGGAGTGCTTGAAGTGCTTGAGGCACCTCCTGTGAGCGTCAGCCAAGGCCCATGTGGTGCCGGCGGTGCAGGTAAAGAGGATGATGTCAAAATTGGACTCTCGTTGGGCGATGAGAAAGAGTCGAGTTGCTCCACCCCTGCAACTACGGTCCCTTGATTTGAGCTATGTGGAGATAGCTCCAAAGAAATGCTGCATGTGTTTTCCCCAACACGTGAAGCACTTGAAATGGTAAAAGCTGTTGAGCCTGAGGCAGCACGGCAATCCCATATGGTGTCTCGTGAGCTCAGGTCGTCCGAAAACCCGGTATCTCGTTGTGAAATCTCCCCTTCACAAGTGTTCCGGTATGTTTCTGTGTCATCTTTGGTGAGGTGGATCCACTGATGGTGAGGTGGTGGTTCCATGGCCTCGTCAACAAAATTTTCTTGTTCCACAAGATGTCCCAAGCTGTGCTCTTCCGTCCCTTCGCATGACCATGTGTCATCTTCCGGCAGCGGAAAAGTCCATCCCATAAGTGGAAACTCCCTGTCCCTGTTACCCACCATGTCCAGGTGGCGGTATGGCTGCAGCGTCAGTTTTCCTCCTCTTGGTCGGGTCATCCGGGTCCTGATTGGGCCGCTTGAGGAGCCCGTGGAGCTGATTTTTCTGCTCCTCGGTGAGGGAGATTCCCAAACTGTGTACAAAGGACTCTACGGCCATTGGGATCTGCTCGGGCTCGCCATTGCCGTCAGGCAATTCTGCTGGTGCTGGTGTTTTGTTGATGGCGGTCATATAGTCCTGGGAAAGCTTGTGGAGTGCTTTCTGCCCGTCAGCCAATTTGCCCTGGAGCTCTTGCACGTCAGTTAAGAGGGAGGCATATTGGGCCTTGACTCCATCAATCTTCTCCTGCAGCTGGTTTTTTCGTATGGACATGGCCTTGAGGTCTGTGACCTGGCTTTTGAGCTTGGTGGCAATGTCACGCTCAGAGCATGGTTCGGGTGCCGTGAGCTTGGTCACGATTTGTTGGACCTGTGGCGGCAAAGCATCCATATGCGTCTTCAAAAGATCAGTGAGCTCTGGTTCCTCTGGTTTTGTGGGACCTATGCCGAGAGCTTGGAGCTTGTTCTGGGTGTCCTCCGGCAAGCTGGCCCAACTGCTATTGAGGAGTTCTGTCGCTTCTTGTTGCACCTTTGTCCTTTTCAATGGCCTGATTTTCGTGAGGCCTGGCGGGGTGTCCAACCACGTCGACTGAGGTGTGTGCTTGTTGGCTGGTCGTCCATAGCCTTTGCCTTTCCCATTTCGTGGTGTCATGTCTGGCCACCAGGTGCCGCATCTTCTGCATTTGGTTCCAGCTCTGACCTTGTCAGCCCAGATCCAGTTGTAGCAGTCTGGTTTCGAGCAGGTCATGTACGCACGTCCCCATTGCGGCGTCATACTCCTGGATCAGGTGGGGTGTTGAGGCTTCGAGCACGATCAGGCCTGTGGTAACCGCAAGGTTGTAGGCCAGTATGGTTCAAGAAATCCCGCAAGTTGAGGCACCGGTCTTAAAGGCCAGGTGGAATCAGTTCACCTCCTCTGTGACAGTCTCTATCACGGGAAAAGTCCAGGGCCGCCGAGGGACTCAAAGGAGTAGGGTTGCCGAGGAAATCCACACGTGATATGTGTGTAGCGCGGCGCCGCGGGAAGCGCACTTGGTCGGTTTTTGGGGACGACCTTGAGAGCTCACGGCCTTGAGCCATGTATGTATGTATGTATGTATGTGGTTGTCGATCTAAAGGTCCTAGTCAGCAGTGTGTATGACGATGACCCGGAACATATCAAAATCTCATTTGGCGAAAGTTTTTTCTCGAGTTGGCGAAAGTATTTTTTTGCGAAAGATCTGGCGAAAGATTAAATATGTACTTTTGTATGAATGTTCATTTGCTTTCTGAACAGCTGGTGGCAGTGACTCAGAAGCTAGATGAGCTGTGGAAGTTAGATAACCTGCTGCTGCTGCTACTACTACTACTACTGCTATTCCTGCTCCTGCTTTGGGGGGTGGCTTTGCCACAAAACTCTACCCCGCAAAAGGCGAAAGTTTGGCGAAAGTTCAGCTCAAGATTGGCGAAAGTTCACCCTGCCACATCTGACCCCCAGCCCATTATGAGTAAGTTTGAGTGACCGGCTACTACAGTGATTCTTGCAATTTTGATTTTTGCTGACACCCAGGAGAAACAAAAGAGACGTACAGGGTGTCAACAGTTAAGTAGAAGACACATGCTGACAAACAGTGAAGTTTCTATGTTGTGTTTGCCAGTAAAGAAAAAGCCATTGACGTGAACAAAACACAACATACATGGCACACATAAATACAACGTACTTCGGCGAAAAATAAAACGAAGGAAGGCGAAAGTTTGGCGAAAGTAATTTTTTTTGGCGAAAATGACGGATCCCGGATAAAGGAATTTAGATCAACTCCCATGTATGTATGTATGTATGTATGTATATTATATATGTATATATTTGTATAGATATTTGTTAAGCGTCACCATACGGAATGAATCTTGCAGGTGTTTCTCCCCATCGTCGGCTAGCAGTCTTTTGATGTCTTTTGGGGCAATGCCGCTGATAGTCTGGGCAGATCAGCGATCCACTTGGAGAAAAGAATTGAATCCATTGAGCACCTGGAGAGCGATTGAGACTCCGCGCATTTATCTCTGCACACATGAGATGTCCATCAAGGATCCCATCCGAGATTGGTCCTGTGGCTTGGTCTCGGAACACATCATCAGTCTAAAACCATCCCATCCGTCCATCAGTCTCAAACCAGCCGGACCCGTCGCCGAAGTCGCAGCCAGCTTTCTTGATGTGGGCACCCCGCGCCACTGTGCGACCGGAGGCTCGACGGCTTTGGTGGAGCTCCTGTTGGAACGGGCGGCAGAGGTGAGCTTGGCCTCAGAGTCTTGGTTGGCCAGAGACGAGAGCTGGAGATGCGTGGTTGGCAGGTAAGCAGCATCTCTTGGGCAGGTGGGAGAGAGCGAGGTCCAAATAAAGTGACATCGTGTGGGGGTGAAGTCTCTCTATGCAGTCTTTGCGGCAGATGCCATGTTGAGATATGTTGGGCAGAGTGTTTATGCGCAATGCACAGAGTTGTTTCGAGGCGGGTTTCGGTTTCTGGCTGTTAGAATTCCGGAGCAGACATGAAAGAAGCATGCAACACTTGAGATGTTGGAATCTTCAAGCCATCGGTCCACAATGAATGGAGGAATAGAACGCTAGGGTCATTTGCAGATCATATCCAAGTCCCTCCGATGACCCTAGTGATGCAATGGTTGGTCCATATTGGTCCAGTGGGTTCCATATGAAGAACCTCCATCTCAACGACCGGTATGGTTTGAACGGTTTCTTTGAATCGAGGTGTTTCTGTCTGGCGACCCCCGCGTTTTTGACCATGTCCTTTTGAACTCTTCGACTGGCACCACTTAGCCAGTCCACCGGAGACCGCGGAGACCATCAATTTCTGTCTCGGTCCCAAGTCCATGGGATGTCCACAACTTGGAGAAATCCCCCTTTTGGGGAGGTCCTTCGCAGGCGATGTTGGGGGTTTTCTCTCCGTTGCCCTTTGGGAGGGGTTGACCCCGCGCACCGGTGCCCGAGGACATCGGCCTCACTGCCTTGGTCATGGCGGCCGACAAAGGCGTGACGACGGACGTCGCTGCGGCCGATCCGAGCCCCGGGACCAGCGGACCGGACGTGCGAACCGAGGCCATGCGGGGACCGTGGGACGTCTATTGGAGAAGCTGGCGGATGTTAACTGCCGCTATGGGTCGCGGGCTTAGAAGAATTGGAAGGTTCGATTGATTTGGATCATTCTTAGGGGAGGAACATCGGTTTCAAACGAGCCATCTTGAGCCCATCAAATCGATTAAAGACACGATCACTTTGCACCCAGGAATGGCAAGACGCCGCTCATGTCTGCAGCTGCACAAGCGTAGACCGGCTTGCAGCTAATGAGTAAATCTGTGGCCTGAGTGCCCACATTTAGGTGACACATTTCATTGGAGTTTCAATGCTATTTGATGCTTTGTGTATCACTCTTTGTGAGCCTCAACCATCAATGATTCAATGGGCTGTCCTGTTTCTTGGCGTTCTTTGTGAGGTATGTAGAGGTGGTCAGGGTTCTCCTGCAGCATACTGCGGATGTGAATGCACAATCGGAGAATGGGTACACCGCCCTGCTGCTGCCTGACTTGAGGAGGGAGGAAACATTGTCATTCACTGGGACACTGGGAATGGCTGCCAGGAAAGCTTGGAAGCTCCTAAAACCGTGCTTGGAAACTTGGTAGGGAAGTACTCTGAAGGGATAGGGTGGCATGTCAACCTCACCAAGCTTAATCAAACGATTTCAAGTTTCAAAAGTTTTCAGATTCAAGGTAACCAGGTAATGCAGTCAGATTCAGCCTCTTCCAGAGTTGATTTTATTTTACTGTAAGGTCAGTAGAGAGCCTTTGATACCTTCTTTTCACTGAGGTATGCATTGGAAACGCAGCTGAAGGACAGGCTGTTGGCCGAAGCAAGATGGGTTACAACTTCCCCGCTTGAAGTAGTTTAATTTGTTGGGTAGATGCTGGAGTTCAACTTCATCCCAACACGGACCGGAGGGGGAGACGTCTTTCCCCGAAGACATCGCGAGGATGGCCTGGTGTGTCCCATTGAAGGCTCCCTGAAGAAACCGGGCTTGAAGGCGAGAGTGCTCGATGCGAGGAAGAAAACAATACGTCAGGTAAGAAACCTGAAGGCTGTCAAAGAATGTGTCATTGAGTCATAGATCTAAAGATTTTGGAGCAAATGTCAGAGGCTTTGCTGAAATTTGAGTGATGACTGATGACTAGCCGCCAGGACACTGTTCAGTTGCTGCTTCATGCCGTAGCTTTGGCTGCATTTTCGACAGAACATGTTTTTACATCGTACAGTGTGTTGAGGATGGTGGCACTCACTTCAGCAGTCTTTAGCATCTTTACCCTGCTTGAAGCTGACGTCAGGAAGCGGTTCACGAGACAATTCCCCATAAAGCCAAGCATCTAGCTGAACAGACTAGACTCTCTATAATCTTATTGCTTTGCTGTCCTTTGCTGAAGCTCCTGCTTTGCTCACGTGGGTGTGTGAGAGAGAGAGAGAGAGCGAGAGCATGGCATCTAGAGGTAAGCACGTCTTCCGCCATCCATGGTGCGAGAGTTAGGGAGTAAAACTGGCTGTATTCTATATGGGGTGTTGTAAAACCCCGTGTCTTTTGCAATACCTCGAAACCATGTTATCGTTTTTTCTACTCTTATCGTTTTCTCAGGTGAAAGCATCTTTGGTGGAAGATCACAAATCAAAAGATGTCCTTTGGTGGTCTACATGGTCCTACTTCAGGATCCCGTAGCACTGCCTGTACCAAGGCGTACACCGTCTTTGGTGGTAAAGACATGGCAGCAGCAAAGATCAGATATAGACAGCTAAACAAGACTACCACATCGCACACTTAACAGTCAAATGGGTACTTGCCCACCAGGGCTGCTTTTTGCTACATTTCGTTATCGTTGTGTTATCGTTCCGGACACCTTTGCAGGTTGCCATTTCCGTGGTTCATGTAAACAGCTGCAGCATATGGACCAAACAGCCCATTCAGTTCCTAGTAGCAAGGCCAGGAGCCCCTAAGAGCTTCTTGTTCCTGGTAGCGATGTTGCTTTGTAGTAAGGCAAGGAGTCCCTAGTAGCTTTTTGTTATTAATCTTAGTAGTAAGGCCAGGAGTCCCTAGTAGCTTCTTGTTCCTAGTAGTAAGGCCAGGAGACCCTAGCAGCTTCTTGTTCCTAGTAGTAAGGCCAGGAGCCCCTAGTAGCTTTTTGTTCTGAATGTGCAGGTATAATCATTGTTATCGTTTTTTTTGCTCTTATTGTTTTCTGGGGTAGGAATGCATTAGTAGTGTTAAGGTGCATGCCAATACTAAACCGCTGAGCGCGGGGTTATTACGCCCATATGTTGAGTTGTGTTGTTGTTTCTAAGTAGTAATCATTGTCTTCGAAGCCATTGCTCAATGGGATGTCAATGTTTGGATCCACTGTCCCAGGCTGCTGACGCCCACGTGCTTGGCCCCAGGCGGGGTCTTTTTGGGCCTTTTTGTCGGAGGGCGTGAGGTCTGAATTTCTCGCGGGAGGAAACGAAGGTCACAAAGACCATCTGTAGACCACTAGTGCTGCGGTATCAACTGTATCGTTTGAAATAATGCCGGGCTTTCTCGGGTTCAAAATGATCCAAGGGTCAAAATTCAGTGGGGGTTAAAGTACAAGTAGAAGTAACTTTGAAGAATCAACTTGACTTTGCCGAGTATGGAGGGCCTTGCGTAAGACCAGGCATATGGTAGTTATAGAATTATAATGAATTATAAGAGTGTTTGTGAAAAGTTTCCCTGGTGTCCAGCGTTCTACTAGTTGGGCTTCCCACACAACGCAGGGATGTAGACCTGGAACCTGACAGAGGGGGCTAGGCTAAGGCACCGGCCATGAACCGAGGGATTTAAGGCACGAGCTGTCAAGCATCTGTGCTGAAGAGCAGGGTTGGCGCAGGGGGTGGCAGGGTTGGGATTCCTTTCTTTCCTTTCTTTCCTCCCGTGGCATTGCAAAAGGGTCCACCTCTTGGCACTGACAATAAGTGTTCACCTCTTGGCAGCAAGTTCTGCGTACTGGGGGGTGGTACTACTTTGAGAATCCATGAAGGACTTGAAGGATCATTGACCATGCTCAACTGTTGTTCTCAAATTTTCAGTCCACTTACTTTCAACTCTTCCACAGAGCTCGCAAAAGAGCTTTTCTTAATCTTCTTTTGATGTTCACGCCTCCACCTGTGCAGCTGAAACCAGCCCAACTCTTGCAACCACAGCTTCTAGGATTCTAGGACAACATGTTGTTTTTTTTTCATTTACTGTATTCACTAGGCAGCATTGCAACGGGCATGTTGTGACAGGCATGTTGTCCCTTGCATGATGGAGAGGGGAATGCTGATGCATGTGCTGTCTGACAGAAAATGTGTGCAAATATGTACTATTATGTGTATTTATCCAAGGCAGTTTAAAGAAACTTCTGAGTGATGGATGGACTCCCGAGGAGTAAAGTCAAGTTTATTACTTAGTCTATTCTTCAAAGTGACTTCTACCTCTGCTTTAGCCTCCACTGAACTTGGAATCTTGGATCATTTTGGACCCATGCATGCAAAGAACGTCCTTTTCAGCGCTGTTTCACTCGGCATCCTTCAGATTGATTTGCCAGGGACCAGTCAGCCCTGGACCTCATGTCGTCCTCAGAAGAGTTGATGGGTTTGCTGGTCGCCTGGCAGCAAGGCGAGTTGGAAGCTGAAGCTCCAACATCGGTCGATGCTGAAGCTCCGATGGGGGAATATTCAACCTTATACGATAGATGCGTGCCCGAGCTGGGATCAGAGCCTGCATGCCAAGGAGAGTCATGGATCGAAATCTGGTGAAGGCGAGTTGTTGTGGGGAAGTCAAATCACGGAGCAAGTGATGCTTGAATAGAAAATGCAAGACCTGTGTGGACACTTCGATTCCAACATCAAACAGCATCAAACGGGTGTCCTTTCTTCGGCATGTTGAAGATTTGCGCTTGATAGAATTTAGATCCACGACCACGTTCAATTTACACGGGTTGCTTCCAGGTCAAGGTGATGGTTTGCAGAAACTGTCATGAACTTATTATACATCTGTACACTTTGCAAGAAGGCTTTTGCCCTGCTTCTTGAGCTGCTGGAACCCAGGCTTAAAGACTTTCTCAAATGCTGTGGACTTGCACTTTGGCTGGATTTATTTGACCAAGTTCTTCAAACCTAGATCAAAAAGACCAGACCCGGCTAAGTGACAGAGATCCAATGTGGAACGGATGAAACCTTTGCTTCAGGTCTGTAACGCTTGCTGGTGGGGCGAACCCACATTGATTGAAAAGTTGTTCATGCAAACTCAATCAATGCAAACAATTATTATGCGAGTTGTTCTCCAGCCTGCAAGGCGGTTTGATTGCCTCAATCGTAGAAAGCACTGCAGATTGTCAAGATGTTCAATTCTATCAAATTGATTCAACTTGCCCTGTGTTTTGCCGGTGCCGTTTCTCAAGCTCTACAGCGCGCAGCGATTCTGAGGACGGTGATCATGTTGTTTTTTCAATCTGCTTTGGGTTTTCTTGGAAGGTGCAGCATGGCGGCAGAGTGAATCGCTCAAAGGCTGACAATCATGGGAGACACCAGTTTTCCTCTTGTTCCATGTCGGAGCTTCCGTAAATGCATTCAATGTCTCAATGTGACTCAATCTTCTTTGTTTCTCCGGAATTCACGGTATCTCAGATATTTCGAGGGGTGAAACCTGAGGCAATACCAGTCTCTTGTTTCTTACTATTCCTCACTATTCTCAGGAACCAGGGACACGAAGCAGGTAGCGATGTGGTCATAGCAAGTCGAAGGTGCTGCTTTCAAGCGGCCTCACCTCATCAGCACCTGAGGACCTCGGGAGCGGGGCCTTGGGCGCTGTCGGTTGCATCGTCTCAGACCGTCACAGACCCCAGTTCGTCTTCGTCCCTGTGAGGCATGCGCCTGGAGGCGAAGATTCAGGGAGTCCCATTGGCAGACCACCTGTGCGCCTGGCTCCTGAGAGTTGGAATGAACCCGAGTTGAACGAGTCTGGGTACTTGTACATGTCCGTGTGTCAACGGTCAGTGCTAAAACTATGTGTTTTGAACACCACCTCACTGAACATTGTCCATCCGAGTCCACATCTTTTGGGTCTTGGGGGTCCATGTCGACGGTCGGACTGCGACTTTGTGAGGTCCGTTGTGGTGCTGTTCGACAGCAAAGGCATTTGGCTGACGAGGTGAGATGGATTTGGCCAGATGTGATTTTTCTATATGTAACTGTTCGTCATTTTATGTTAATTTAGGTTATTTAGAGCAAAATACGTTTTTGTTCAAATTAGTTATCACTACATTATTATGGATGGATTGGCAGATTTGCAGATGATTCTATCTCAGTTATGGGCTGTTGCAGCTAGTGGAAGTCCAACAAAGAAAATTCAATTGACTCTTTTTTACATCCAAACAGGTCTTCTTTGATGTGCAGAAGCCGTCTGAGCCCTCAACTTGCATCCAAATGTCATCTTCCCAAGGATGCTAGTCTAGCTGATGCGCACATTGACTGGAAAGTTGAAGATGCGAATTGAGAGGGGCCTTTCAATTCTTCTTTGTGTCTCAGGAAGTCTAGTCTAGATATGGTCAATTCTGGCTTTAGATGGGTGAATTCAGCCCAGCAGAGGGCCATGTGTGAAACTATCATGGAGGATTCTCTCTCTCTCTCTCTATATATATATAGAGAGACACACACACAAAGCGGCTGTAGTTGCAAAAGCTTCAAGAAGGGACATCCAATGAGTCCATCTCAAGGCCCCTGGTGTTCCCAGCTCTAGATCTTTGGTCTCCCCAATTCGTCCACAGATGAGGCCAGTGCCCCTGGAGCTTCGAGTCTTCAGGCGAAGTGGTGGCATTTCAAAGGCGAGTCGAGTCTTCGGCGCAGAGACCACGCAAGCGCGGAAACCAACGAGCGATGGCCTCCTACCTAACAGCGATGGCCTCCAGCCTAAGAGCGATGGCCTCCAACCCAAGAGAGGTGGCCTTTATTTGCAATGGCGGCACATAGAGAAAGCTGTTGAGTAGCCGTGCTTCGGTCATCTCCCAGTTTTGTGGGAGCTGATTAGTCCAAAATGAGAAACGGGGACGTGCAACAGCATCTTTGAAGCTAGATTTGATGGCGTGCGCTCGTGCGTGTGTGGGTGTGTGTGTGTGTCAGTTCACTCCCCAGGCCGCTTTGGATGAGTGTCGTGGAGAAGATGGATTGTACAAGGAGCCACACGTGCGCGTGTGGGTGTGAGTTGTTGGGGTCACAGCCACAACGAGCTACGACGTTAGGTGTCACAGCCACATCCATGTCTCCAGCGCAGGTGCACCTTCGGAGTAAAGACGGTCATTCGATGAGTGTTTGAGGCTCAGATTCTCCAAGCTTGCAACTAAAATGCAGGCTGATGGCGCTCATGGCATTGATTCACATTATGCAAGACACCTGAGACAACACTTCAAGTGTGTTTTACATTAATAATCCATTAATATATTATGTTTACATTAACATTTATATAATGTACATTATATCATACTGTAGCACACAATATACTGAATCGCTCGCAAGACATGTCCTTCATCCTGGTGTTCTTCACCACTTCTGAGGTCACCTTCCGTACCCGGAAGTGGTCTGAAGATAAGAAGGTCCCCACGTCGGAGGAGGAGCCACACCACAGGGTGCTACGGCATCAGGGTGCTTTTAAACTTTTGAAGATCACACCTGCCAGAGGATGCATGCAGGTTTTCCTTCATGATTGCTGTTGGCCCGTGGTAAATGGACCAGTTTTTTGAAGGATTTGCAGTGTGCTTGAATCGGAACCTTCCACATCTTCAAGTTGGACAGGTTGTCATCAGATGAAGTCATTGCCGATCTTCACCTCAGCAGCAAACAGCTCAGGAGGCTGCGGCAGAGGCCTACTTGCAGAAGCATAGCTTGTGGCCCGGCGAAATAGCCTTTCTTCTGCTTAACTTATTATGCATTTGTGATGTTTTGTGGCTCAGTTTGATGCATTGTGGGAGCCATTCACTTGAGCCCAAACTCTTGGGACATGGACAATTGATATCACCTGGTGCATGGGTTCTTGGAACATGCCTTGAATCTGGGACTCCCTTGAGCATCCGAAGACTTTCGTGGCCACCGGTGGCCAAGGCCTCAGTTTGTCAAGAAGGTCTTTGATCAACTGCTTACTCAGCAGCCCAAGGAGCGGCAGAAGCTGGGAATGCTAAATCTCTGGAATGCTAGATGTCTTGAGAGTTCAAAGTGCACAGACAAGAAGACTTGAAAGCACCAGAATCTGAGTGTCCTGAACTGGTGAATTCAATGTATGATGCCAGATGACTTTTGCAGATTCCAGTTGCAAGGACCCATATCAATTCATGAGGCCAGAGCGATGCGATGCGTGTGGGTGATGGAAGCCTCAACTAGGGGAATCCATTGGACCACGTCAACTGGTTGTAAAATCAGTGTCCAACGGTGAAAACATGTCAGTCCACGTCACTCAGTCCTTTCGGGATCCACGTCCTCGAACGGCCCAGTCGATCCCCGCATGGAGGCTCTTGTGGGCGGATGCCGCTCGAGCGGAACAGACTTCAAGTCTGAACGCGCGGCCGGCCAGTGAGCTCAAGGTCCAGGAAGACACAGCGGTGGAGATGCGGGGAGTCTTGAGATGCAGGTGGTTCTTTGGCCAAACTGTGCAGGCCAAACAATCAAGAGGTGAATTAAGGTCTACCATCTAGCTTTTTACCTTTCTATTTTTTACTTCTTTAATCTGAGAAGAAAGTGTTTTCGAGTGATGCTGAAAGCTCCAATCAAGTGATCTGAGCCAATGAACTCCCTGGGCCACCGAGGCCTATCACTCCTGGGCAAGAAGTCCACCAGACGCGTTGTCGTGATCCCCAAAGGTGCGGCATACTCCGGAGGTGCATGGTGCATCTCATGCCTCCGAGGGTCTGAGTGGCTGAGGCTACGGAGCAAAGCAAGAGAGACTTTGTCCAAAAGCTACTTGAATGGGAGCTTGGCAAAGTCCCTGAACAAGTTGTTTGCTCGTGGCTTAGCACCGTTGCCAACAGGCACAGTGGACACGAAGGTGAATGAACGGTTGCTCACAGAACTGAGGCAAAGAAAGACGTGGCCAATCAGCTGTCCAGATCTTATTGTGGCGAGTAGTCAAGTTTGTGCTTTTCAATTGGACCAATCTTAGGCCGGAGGATGGCGAGGCTCTGGTGGCTTATCTATGTCACACTGTCAAATGTATTTGGGTTCCTTCGAGATGGACATGTATAATTGCACCCACCAACCCATACAGGCCATCCATCTCCAATGGACTCTGCCGTCAGAAAACTTCAGCACTTCGAAACCAGGTTGCGGCGTCCAAAGGCTGCTCCCTGCAAGAGTCTGGGACTAAGAAGGCAACAAGCACGTCCTTATGGACAGTGTAGGCAAGAAGGCAACATGGCAACATGTCACAACAATTCGTTTGTGAAGCATGCTTGCTCTTTGAGTTCGCAAGGCTCAGATTAAAGGCGAAGGAAGCTCTATCCAAGAGTTATCTGAACCAGAGCTTGGGCACCTCACTACAAAAGCTATCGGCTCGGAGTCCCAATGAAGAATTTTGAAGATCAGATCCCAGCAAAAACCTACAAAGCTGGGCTGCAAGTTCCATTGAGGCCTCAAAGCC